CTTCTCTTCAACATGAGTTTTCCTACTAGAAGAGAAGGACCCTGAAACTGAATCGGAGTGTGTCAGCAGTGACCTAGTAGCTCCTATGGGTTCAGTAGCTCACCTTTCCTAATAGCCAGGCTACCTTGATTATTTTCAAAAGAGTAGTCAAATTAAGTTATCTCCACAAGTCTGTGTTAGTTATGACATATATGGTAGGGATATTGACTGTATCCCCAACATTTTGGGGTCCATCTCTCTACTTAGCCATTCAGCCATAGCTGGGGGCCATCAGTAAGATGCTGAGCAGAGGAGGTTCCTGCTGCTGCTTCGCCCTCTCCAGGCTTTAGTCTGCCTTTACTCAGCCATGCAGCTCAGGCACCTCCTTATCCCAGAATATATTTCCTCTGTGCTAGATCCTGTCTCAGCAAGCACACACTGCTCCAGGTCGATTCTCCCTGGATTCGTGCTCCTTGGGCACAGCTCATCTAATCTGAATTCACACCTCTGTAGAGACTACACTTGAGCTAATCACCCTCTTCTTCTCTGACAGTCAGTGGAGAGGGGTCATCAGTTTTGAGGTATGTGCTATATAATCTGTTCTAGATGTTGCTTTAGAATGAGAGGAACGACCTCCCCAGTTCCCTTGGCTAGACAGACCAGGCCTCCATCATCTGTGCTATCCATGTCTGCTCAGCCAGACCGCTGTCTTTGCTTCCTTCCAGAACCTCTCCTTCAAGCAGCTGTTTGCTCCTTATCATGTGCTTGGATATCCCACTGGAGACAACATGGAGTGGAAGTATTGCAGCATGGAACCATTGCTGTAACAACGGGAGGTTAATCAAAGGCATTCCCAGCGTAGCGAATCCCAACAAGAGCTGTGTGCAGACTCAGGGTTGGATCTCTTTGGTGCACTTAAGGGGAATGAAAAATGGAGATCAACATTGCAAACAGCACCCTGAGGAGTAGGTTGGGTTTCTTACTGGCAGGGAGTCAACGCTTTCGCAGAATACACCCAAAACATGGTTATTGTGATTTGTTTAACCACTGCTCACAAGGAAAAACCATTGCCTCTGGGCTTCTGTGGGTAAGAGAAGGTTAGGGGTTTTTTTCTCCATAGCTAAACCAAACAGCAAAGATACTGCTGGTCCCAGCTGTTATCATATGAGGTTAGTTTTCCTTGTGAAAGATCAGCATAAAGCTTGAATAAGATTAGGAATACATGGGCTTGTCTTAGCTTTTGGGACAAAGTGAATTTCCTCTATTTAGGGCATTTTGCTCTCTGATGTCGAACTGATGCACACATGAACCTGCTCTCCTCCTAGCTCTTGCCAATGTACACAGAAATAACAACTGTGTGGGACTCAGAACAATTCCAGTTTGCTATAGACACGGACCCTAAAGGTCTTTTCAGCCAGCCAGCTCCCATTTTACTAAAACATCTCTGTTCCCACGTTCTAGGATGTTTCTATTCTTTACTAGGCAATCCAGGTGTAAAGCTGCCTGCCTCTCTTGGCTGAGTTTATCGCATAACACTCAGAGCTGCTCAGCTTACTTGGATTCTGGCAAAATGCGGAGTCTGCTGAAAGGTACCTTATTTAAGGAGCCTGGAGAGTAAGAGCTTTTATTTAACGCTTGAGCAGGTATCATGACTAAAGACTTAGTTACTAATGGCTAGGAGAGTGTCCTCTACCTGAATCCCCTCCAAGTGCCTTCTGCCCTCCACCCCTGCTCCCAGGACTCAGGTGATCTTTGCCTTCTTATTTCTCCTTTTATCCAGAGGATGAGAATGCCCACTGGAATGGCAGGTTTGGGATGGGGCAAGTAGAAATAATCTGAGCCTACCCCACAACCTCAGTTCATTCCAAGGAGACAGTCCTCAGTCAATGTCGGGCTGGTCCGTAGTGAAAGCAGTGACATACTCCAGGAGGGCTCTGGATGCACGGTCCCACAGTTATTTGTTCTTGTAGGAAGCATTCCTCTAACCAAACAAGAACATGCTTCAGAGAGTGGACTTCAATTTCCCCCCAAAGCTTAGAGATACACCAAAATGCAGAAGCTGTGGCTGCTTCAAGTTTTCTGCCGTACCTCATGTGTTAGCCGTGACTGGTCTATAACTGGAAGGTGTTCCCCAAAATACAGGTTAAGCCCTTATCCTTCTCCTCCCCTGGCAGCTTACCCCCAAATCCCTTTCTCCCTGCCTGATACAGAGCCAGGGGATGCCTCGTCGGTGTGGACTTCAGGCATGGCTGGCTGCGATTGAGCAGGGAAGGGGGTTAATTTTACAGGGTGTCTTTTTTGCCTTAGATCTTACAAGGCAGGTAAAAAATGTGTGTGATATTCATAAACATGATTCTTTGTACTGCCTAGAGCCAGGCAAGATGAATAATAAAAGAGCAGAGATCAGAACAGTGATACATTCGTACTCATGAATTTTAATGTCAGAAGGGACCTTTCTGGGCTGATCTCCTGTGAATGTAGCCCCCTTAAACTTCACCCTGTTACCTCTGTATTGAGCTCACTAACTTGTGTTTGCCTAAGCCACGTCTTCCAAAGAAGCCTTCAAGTCTGGATTTGAAGCTACCAAAGGATAGAAATTCCATTGCTTCCCCAGGTACCAGCTCCAATGCACCATCACCCTCTGTTTAAAATGTGGGCTTTGTTTCCCATTTGAGTTTGCTTGGCGTATGGCTCGCAGCTATTAGTCCTGGTGGTGACTTTCTGTTAGATCAAAGAGCCCTTTAGCATCAGCAGCTTCTGCTTGAAACAATATTTGTGCACTGTTGTCAACTCTTCACTCTTTTTTTGTGTGTTGTTGTCACAACAATTAAATTCAGACTTCCTCATCTCCCCCCATAAGGTGCCTCCTCCAGCCCTCAGGCCCTTTCTAGGGGATATATTCTGCACCATCTTTTTCTGATATCCTTATGTCAACCAAGAGGTGCACACACAGTATTCCCGTTGCTTACCACTGATGCACAGAGCAGTATTCCTTTTTGGTTTTATGTCAGATGACGGTGGTAGCTGTCCTGAGAGACTCTTTCTAGGACACAACATCACATTGCCAGGCATGTTCTGCATCCCTTGTATAATTTCGTATTTGATTCTATTAAAATATAGTCTGTTTGGAACACACGTTGGATCTAATACTGACCCCTGTAGACGCCTGTTAGAAATACCTCCTTCGACTTCAGTGGGGTGGCTCCTTTTAGAGACCTGCCAGCTAGGCTTCTGCTAAACCATTTTCATGTATGTACTACCGACATTACGTATCTTCATATCATGGAACCGTGTGAAAGTCAAACCTTATCAAAATCTAATTACATTATGCTACAACCATGCAGGCAGCTTTATCAGACAAACCTAGAATCATGCCAACTAATAAAATCAAGTTTGGAAGCACCTGTTTTATATACAAGTGCCTCAACTAAGATTAATATTACGCCTATTCTTCAGTGCTTAATGAATTGAAGTCTGTATCAGATTTTCCATTGTTTTGCCTGGAATTTATGTCAATCAAACTAGTGTGTATTTATGAGGCTCATCTTTGTATATCTTGGCTGACTATTGGCACAGTGCTTCGGTATTCGGGACCTGCCCCAGTGCTCCAGTGCAGATTATAAATGAACATCAGTGGGCCAGCAATTTACTCAGCCAGCTCTTTAAGGACTCTTGGGTACAGCTGTTTAGCCAAGCTGATTTCAGACTGTTTATCCCTAACAGATGGTGTTTCCAATTCTCCTTGCTTACTGATGAGCAGAAGGCACTTTATTGCCCCCCACAGCCCATACTATGGGCACGTTCCCCTGCCATGGTCCAGGTACTGACTGCCAAACACTTTGACCGCTTCTGCAGCATGGCAGTTGACTTGGTCCTGGCCATCCATAGAGGGAAATGGTGAAGTCAACTCTCATGCTGCAGAATTGTTTATGCAGATACCATTCCTCATGAGAGAGACACCCAAACAGAGACACAACTCCATGGTTTCTCCCTGAGGTTGGCACTTACATGAAACTTTATTCCCAGGCCCACCAGAAATTGAGATATGTCCATGTTATCTTGTTCAGCCCTACAGCAGCAAACTCAAGCCTCCATGCTTCCCTGTTGATATGTTCCAGCCCTGCTCTGTCCCATTTTCTGCCAGTATAGCTGCTTCTATTAAATAAAGGTTTCACAAAGATGAGATTTTATGATGTGTCAGGTTGAAATGAGAAAGTGCATGGAGGTCAACTTTTTCATAAGTGAAAGGCTAATGCTGGATTTACAGAATGAGGTTTATTTTTGGCCTTTTCTTGTGCCGGTGAGGATATTTAATGGACTTTTCTGTAAGGTCGATAGGTGTATACTCAGAATGTTCCCTGTCAGCTGAAATTAGCTGGGATCTTTCTAGATCACAGGAGTGAAACAGCCAGTATTTGGACAGGTGACCTCAAAGGAAACACCAGTGATTCAGTAGGTGTGGTCCTTCCTTCTGAGTCAGTGTTGAAATGTGACGCCAAACAATGGTGTGTTGCCAGAGGACATAGTTTTTATTTGAAATATTAAAAGCAACTTGAACAGTTATGGCTATTTAAAATCCCATGATATTATACTGGATGATAATCCAGTTAGGATTCATTTAGTAGGCCTCCCTACATTGCTTCTGCCATTCAATGTCAGGAGGATGCTCCTTTCCTAAAGCTTTCAGAAGTAGCAGGTTGCTCTGACTAATTGAGGGATCCCAAGAGGATATTTTTAGGGTAGAGTTAAGATGCCCAGAATCCTGTGGATTTCTTGTATCAGTTCAGGATCCATTTGCAGTTAAGGCTATGTATGCTGTCAGTGCAAGAGTATCGGACCAAAGCATTGTAACCTTTGTCTTTTCCACCCTACAGAAGGCAGATTTCCCTTCAGAGCATTTTAGAGTATGTAAAATGCATCAACCATCTGGCCTGAGAGCCAGTGCTGGCTTGGATGGAGGATGCTGGTGAGGGGCAGCTCCTGTTCTGAGGGGACGTGATGGTGCCTCTTGAGTAAATACATAATAAGTGTGAAGATCTGTTGGAAAATTGGCTTTCTGCTCCACAGGGAAGATTGAATCACAAGAGAGAGAATGGGAGAGCAATATAATAAGTGATATGTAATAACACTTCAGTCTGTTGTACATAGCAGAGCATCTTATTTATTTGTCTCACGGACTCATTTCCTGAAGCAAGAGGCACTTGGAGACAGCGTCCCTCTCCAAGGACCAGCTTTCACTGCCAGCCTCGTGCAGGAGGCTTAAGGGGCAGCTGAAAGCATCGCACTGCCCCGCGGCAGCATCGGCGGCACTCGGCTCCCTGTGAACACACAGCTGTATTAAACCCTTTCTCCCTGTGTTTCTTGCAGGTAAACTATGACCACTTTACTATTAGTGTTTGTGTGTTTGCGAGTCATCACCGCAGCCTCTGTGGAACTCTCAGGTACGTGCCCCGGGGTGTGGGAAAGCAGGGCTGAGCAATGTGCTGCTGGTCCTATCTGGTCCTATCCTATCTGGTCCTATCCCCAGGCAGGGGCAGCTGCCAGAAATAAGGGTACCCAAGATCTGTTTTGTGTACACACAGGGCTCTTCTCTTTGAATGGCTGCTGTGCCATAGCCTGTCAGTGTTCTTGTGCTTGGGGAGCCAGGACGTAGTTCCGGGCAAAGGCAGATTTATGGGGAAACCAAGGGAATTTCAGCATTCCCCTTTCTTAAACCCTGTCAGGTGTGATCTCGTACTATGGGCAGCAGCTACACTGCAGTAGAGCCCTTCATTCCCTTCATTCCCACATCCAGTATGGCCCAAATCCCAAAAGCAACCATGGCACAAGGGTCATGGTTGTAACTTCCCTTTTGCAAGTTATTTTCAGCAGACTAGACCCCAAAGAGTATGTCTGAATATGTGGGTACAGGTTTAGAAAACAGATATAGGCAATATGGAAGCACTGGATATTTTGGATTAAATGCATTGCTGATATCACTATTCCTTTGTCTGGGAACTGGCAGACAGTAGTGATGGCCTGGAAGTGAAGATACCTGAGCAGTCTCCCCTGCGTGTTGTCCTGGGAAGCTCCCTGAACATCCCCTGTTACTTCAACATCCCAGAGGAACAGGACACCAGTGCTCTGCTGACCCCACGGATCAAATGGAGCAAACTCTCAAATGGGACCGAAGTTGTCTTGCTAGTGGCCACCGGTGGGAAAATCCGGCTCAACACTGAGTACAGGGAGGTGATCTCTTTGCCCAACTACCCCGCCATCCCCACTGATGCCACCTTGGAAATCAAGGCACTGAGATCCAACCACACTGGGATTTATCGCTGTGAAGTGATGTACGGGATTGAGGACAGACAAGACACAATAGAGGTCCTAGTGAAAGGTGAGACCCTGCCCTTGCTCTTTCCTCTCAAGATCTGGCTGCCTGGCCTGGGCAGAAGGGAGGAAGAAATAGATGAGCAGAGGAGGTGCTGCTCTCCCCAAAGGCATAAACCCTTTGAGTCAGGTCACAGATAAGGCCAGGGCAGGTGAGCAGAAGCCAGGGGCCAGGCTTTTATTTTATCAGGCTCTGACCAGACTAAACAAACCAGTAAAATGACTCATGGCAAAATATATGGTAATAAAATTAATCTTCTGGCAGAAGGTGAGTTACAGAGACAGCAAGACAACATCCTTGGCAGGAGGTGGTACTGGATACACTGGGATATTGCTCAGAGGGGTGCAGCTGGAACTGGGCCATTACAAGACCTTTTATTTCCTCCAAACATTTTAGGAAATGGGATGCCCTCAGCTGGAGATTTGGTCTGTTCTGGAAAAACTTTCCCCATTGTCTTTCAAAGGCCATCCTAGCAATGGGTGGAAAAAATAACAAAAGTTTCCTACAATCCTTAACTTTATCTCGGTTTTTGCTTTCAGTGTAGGACAGGGAGACAGTTTCCACTCCAGTACAAAAGTTAACTGGCAGTTCTCTGCTGCTCACATGCACTGGAGTACATATCTGACAGCAGAGGCTGAGAGCCCTCTCATTACCTCCTGGTGAATTTTCCATTTGACTTAAAGTCTGCTCCTACCAGACCAGAGTGTACGAACAGCCATCCTTTATAAAGATCCCTGTTCATCAAAAAAATATGACTTAGATAAGTTTGCAGCAGATCTGGAGATCTGAAGTATATTTGCCTCCTGTTAATGTTTCCTGGGTGTTTGTGCAGTGGCTGACACTCTGCAGCCTTGGTCCTGAGCAAGACTTTGGGAGGTGGCAGCTTTCAAACCTGCACCTCAGCACGGTCCCTGCTCTGCCCCACTGGCTGATTTCTGAACTGTGCATTTAAAATGCTGCACAGAGATGTATCAGGAAAGTATTGAGTCCTGACAGTGATACAGCTCTGTGTTCTGGGAGACGGGTTTCCTCCCGGCGCTACTGTTCAGGTACTGGCTTTTAATGCACCCTGACTTTGCTACAGCACCATGGGAGGGCAGTTGCTGTCCTAGGTCACCAATGTCCTCTGCAAGGTCCTGTGAAAGAAGCCCATCAATTCACCCTTGGTTTGAGATGCTGAAATACAGATAATCAGCAGAAATAGCTCGTTGTTTCTAGTTGACATGTAGCATCTGTTCTCTGAATCCCTAACTTCTTTGGAAGGAAAGGCACTGGTTGCTCTCTAGCAGATGTGCGAGTGACAGCCGCTGTGTTTTCCAGGCATCGTGTTCCACTACAGAGCAATCTCCACAAGGTACACCTTGAACTTTGAGAAAGCAAAGCAGGCCTGTATCCAGAACAGCGCTGTCATTGCTACTCCTGAGCAGCTGCAGGCTGCCTACGAGGATGGGTACGAGCAGTGTGATGCTGGCTGGCTGGCGGACCAGACTGTCAGGTAATGAACAGTGGAGGGGAAAGAAAAGCCACAGCAGGGTCTTTAGGGAAGGGCTTGCTGTAATGAAGCCACCGACTGAAAACGGTTGAGAAACAGCTGCTAAATAGCAGTTGCTGTAATTGCTGATGTGCAGAGGGCGGCGGTGGATTGCAAGCCGTTGTCTGCCGGGGGCAGGGGGGAATCTATAGTAGAAAGCAGAGTGACCACTGTCCTCCTCAGCTGGTGATGGCAGCTGAGGGGACAACAGCTTAATCCTGATCCTTCATCCTCCTTGAACAAAACAGATGCTATGCCAAGATGCACAAGTGTGGCTCAACCATACCGAGCTGTGCATCCCCCACCGGGGAGGCACCTTTGGCCAGTGCTCCCAGGGACCTGCTCTGCTCAGGACCATCAGAGGGAGGGCAGGACAGCAGATCATCCTTCCCCTTGCCCATAACCCAGGAAAAGCCATAAACCATCACACTGCTGCCAGGGTCCTGCCCCCCCGCCTTACACAGCCTCTTTCCTCCAGGTACCCCATCCACTGGCCCCGGGAACGCTGCTACGGCGACAAGGATGAATTTCCAGGAGTGAGGACCTACGGTGTCCGTGAGCCAGATGAAACCTATGATGTTTACTGCTATGCAGAGCAAATGCAAGGTGATTTGGGGCTTTTATTGTTACTAGATGCAGAAGCAGCCAAAGCTCTGATCATGCCTAGACCAGACCAGAGTAAATACAGAGGCAAAGAGCCTAGAGGCAGGACAGGTTAAAGATGGAAAAGCACATACCCCAGCAAGGCCAGATGCTCTCTACAGTCTCTTTGTTAGACCTTGGACAATTTTAATGCCAAATGACTAATGCAGTACAGAGGGTGGAGTCCATCTAACGTCCACCAGAGCCCATGCCATCCTGCGTGTCTCTGGTCATCCATCTGAGGCGGTGACATTCAGAGGCGTCCATCACCCATGCTTATGACAGGGATCCATTGAAATATTCAGCAGATCAGAACTGAAATTGTCTTTTGTCTTCCTCTTGCCCTATGGCTCCAGCTAGTTTGGTATGTTTTGCTCCAGTCTGTATTCTGACTGTAAGACTCCCTTTCTTCTAATTTTTATAGACAGTCACCAACATGGGGCTGCAGTTCAGCTGTAATACACAGGACTTCCCATCTTATCCAGACTCTCAGGACTGGGAAGGGGAAAGAAGGGGAATTGGGATTAAATTCTACAGCTAATTCCTGTGCTAATGGATGGTGTGATTGCAGGTAAAGTCTTCTATGCCACCGCCCCTGAGAAGTTCACCTTCCAAGAAGCTTTTGACAAATGCCGCAGTTTGGGAGCCCGTTTGGCCACCACAGGAGAGCTGTACTTGGCCTGGAAGGACGGCATGGACATGTGCAGCGCAGGCTGGCTGGCCGATCGCAGCGTCCGCTACCCCATTTCCAGGGCACGGCCCAACTGCGGAGGAAACCTGGTGGGCGTGCGGACAGTGTACCTGTACATCAACCAAACGGGGTACCCTCACCCCGACTCTCGCTACGATGCCATCTGCTATAGCGGTGAGTGCACCGGGGCTGTGGGACTAAGCAATGTGCCTCTACACAGCAGCGAGCAGGAGCTCCCTGGCCAGAGCTAACCCCTTGCTTCATTATTTATTATTTTTTTAAAGCCGGGGGGGTGAAACAGCTTTGGCAAAGGACTTAATTCCCCATTCATGTTCAGGTAGGAAGCAGAGTCGAGAAAGAGCACAGATGCCTGACCTGTACAGGGTCGCTCTGAGGAGGTGGGTGTAACACAGCCCTCTTCTCTCCATTTGTCCCAGACCTTCCAGCTTTGGTAGCTCTCCAGGAGACATGGAGCAGGGCTCAGGTGCTTCATGTACAAGACTTTGAATGCTGAAGATGGAAGGGAAGGAAAAAGAGAACAGATCTGATCCTGAAGATGTGTATGGTGCTGTAATGTGGTACAGATACATGCCTGAGTTTTCATACTGGGATAAATCAGAGACTGCAACAGTCTCCAGCCATCAGAAATGGGGCCAAATTGCATCTAGGAGGTAGAGAGCATCCCAGCTCTTCCCCCTTTCTTCTAATTGTACTCTTCTCCCTGCAGCAAGAAGGGGGCAAAGCACACTGGTATATGGTCTGTTCAGGGCAACCAGAGGCTAACATTCAAATAGGATTGCCATCTCTAAAACAATAATAACAATATTTTAAAATATGTTTCAAAACCCCTTTGATACAGCCCTGTTGTGCCCAGATGCGTGCATGAACAGTGTGTCAGGAGGCCCCTTAGAATTATCCAGCTACATGGCCAGGCTAAAGACTGATCCACCAAGCCACAGCCTTCTGGTTATCTCAGGGTATGCATCTGAAACTGCTGAGTACAGCCAGTCCTTGTCTGAGCATCTCTACCTAATTCTCTGAATCCCTTGAGCTCTGGAGGTACTGGCAAAAATGAACTGGCAGGAAAATGGAATTGGAATTAAACAGAGCAGGGAAAGCAGTATTAGGGGAAAAGCCTGGCAGTGTCTCATTATCTCTTCCTCCCCAGCCAAGACCTGCCTGGCTGCATATCCAAGATGTCCCATCCCTCCCTCACCTGCCCAGTTCCATTTTAAGTTGCTCTTTAAGCCTCCGTCCTCGCTGCAGGCTGACCTGCTCAGCGGCACATTAAGCACGTTCTCCTACACCCAAGGGACGTGACTTGAGCAGAAAAGTGATGTGGGAGTGGAAAGGTGGGAGTTGTTTGAATGTATTTGGTACAGCAAGTGGCCTTGGCTGTCCTGGTGACAGGGATGCTTGTATGTCATGAGCTCTGAAGTCGTCGCCTGGGTAGAACAGAAGGGATCCTGGTGAGACTTCATGCATTGAGCGTGAGGACCCAGTTGTCGTTCTCCCAGGGCTCAGACCTGCTGTGGAGGTTCTCCAAGCTCCCCTACTTCCCTCCGGCCACCTTAAGTTCCTTGCAGCAGGCACTAGAGGTCAGTGCAGACTTGGATATGGGCAAGGTGTTCCCGGGAAGGAGAGGAGGGAAAGTCCTCTCTGATTTGCCGGCTGTGGTACCCTCCGTGCTGGGGTGTTGTAGAGAGGGAGGAAAACCATTTCTTTTACCAGACCATCATGATTTCCCTGCTCCTCTCAGAGCCAGCAAACACCCAGCTTCTTCTCCGAGGCAGCACCAGCGCAGTGCCCCTTGCTAGACTTGACCATGTCCTGTCTGACTGCTGCTTTGTCTCCTGGTGTAGGGGACGACGTCGAGACCCTGGTCCCAGGGCAGTTCATCGATGAGACGGGAAGCGAGCTGGGCAGCGCCTTCACCATCCAGACCGTCACCCAGACTGAAGTGGAGCTACCTCTGCCACGCAACGCCACGGAGGAGGAGGCCCGCGGCAGCATTGCCACCCTGGAGCCCATCGAGATCACGCCCGCCGCCACCGAGCTGTATGAGGGCTTCACCGTCCTGCCCGATCTCTTCGCCACCGGTGTCACAGTAGAGACAGCTGCCCCGGAGGAGGAGAACGTGACCAGGGGGGATGTCACAGGGGTGTGGGCTGTACCTGAAGAGGTCACCACCATAGCCTTAGGCACTGCCATCACCACTGAAATGGCAGAGGTGAGCACGGTGGAACCGGCCGTGGTGATGACTGCCACACCAGGATTAGAGTCTGCCTCAGCATTCACAGTGGAAGATCAGCTCGTGCAAGTGACAGCGGCCCCCGGTGTTGGTCTTCTCCCCGAGCAGCCCATCTCCCCCATGGGTAAGTCACCAGGAGTCCAAGAAGCCTGAAAATTGGTTTCTCCTAGAGGTAACCATTCAACTGAAAACAGTCTGAGCTTCTGCCATTGCAGTGGGCGTCCAGGTGCCTGGAGGTGTGCAGGTCTGTTTAGGGTCAGGGACAGGCTGAGTGCCTCCACTACAGTAGGACAGGAGGGGTGAGGAGGAGGCTGTGGGTCACCTCATCATGTGCTGAAAAGGGATCAGCTGTCTGATGCTTGGGGCTGCCGTGGTCACACTCTGCACTCCCATGTGCATCTGGCTCTAGGGAAGGGGAAAGGCAAAGCAGGAAGATCCTAGAGGAGGGCTTAAGAGATCCCTAGAACATCACCCTCGATGGCAGCAGAGCTCAATGAATGAGTTATCTCTGTCAATGTGGGTTTGACAGGCACTGGTCCTTGCACTGTTGTTGGGAAGATCCTTTCTGGTCACACATCTCAGTGGAGGGCGGGTCCCATATCTGCTGTCTCACCACGGCTTCTCTTCCCCCAGGTGTGGTGTTTCACTACCGCGCCGCCAGCAGCAGATACGCCTTCTCCTTCGTCCAAGCCCAGCAGGCCTGCCTGGAGAACAACGCGGTTATTGCCACCCCCGAACAGCTCCAGGCTGCCTACGAGGCTGGCTTTGACCAGTGTGATGCTGGCTGGCTGCGGGACCAGACAGTCAGGTAAAACTATATTGACTTGGGAAAAGCACCTCTCAAAATGATTATTCAGCCATGAAATTGAGGCTTTACTCTGGTCTGTCCTGCTGCTCTGCTCATCAGCATCTAAAGCTTTCCTGACCTCAGGTTGTCTCCAGGCCATGATATCTAGTGGCCAATAGACCTGTTCTCCTCAACCTGTCCTACCTCTTTCCTAACCTGTGCATACGTCCTGCAGCAGTGAGCTCCAAGTGTACTGACATGTAGGAAAAGTGGAGAAAAGTTTGTAGGCATTGCCCCAAACTGTAAGTGCAGATTAAATTTGTTTCCATGTCACTCTGGGGGCTTTGAGCACCTCTAACAGTGAATTGTTCATGTCCTGCTCCCAAGTGCACCAAGATTCTTCAGTCCAGGGTACATAGGGCTGACCCTGGGTTACCATTTCTCTCCTTCTTTTGGTAGGTATCCCATTGTGAATCCCCGAAGTAACTGCATAGGAGACAAAGAGAGCTCTCCAGGTGTGCGGTCATACGGCATGCGCCCGGCCTCAGAGACCTATGATGTGTACTGCTACATCGACAGGCTCAAGGGTACATTCTTCCCCTTCCTCCGGGCATGGTTGTGGAGCAAAGATGTGCTTTGCAGCTCCACATCTGTGTGTGCTTGGGTGGGGTGCAGGGACTCACACCTGTCCTCTCTTCCATCCTTCAGGTGAGGTGTTCTTCGCAACCCAGCCAGAGCAGTTTACCTTCCCAGAAGCTCAGCGGTACTGTGAGAGCCAAAACGCCACACTGGCCTCTGTTGGCCAGCTCCATGCTGCCTGGAAGCAGGGCCTGGACAGATGCTACGCTGGCTGGTTAGCCGATGGCAGTCTCCGTTATCCCATCGTGAGCCCCCGTCCTGCCTGTGGGGGGGATGCACCTGGAGTGAGAACCGTCTACCAGCACCACAACCAGACGGGCTTTCCCGACCCGCTGTCCCGACATCATGCCTTCTGCTTCAGAGGTACCCTCCCACACCTTGTGGGGCGTGTAGACCGCTCTCCTCGGGGAAAGGGATTTCATGGGGGAGGTTGGGTACATCAAAGTGCCAGTTTGGGTGAAGCACTTCACCAGCATCTTGGACTGTGAATTTTTGGAAAATCCTGCCAATACTTTTTTGTTCCAGCTCTGCCACCTGTGGAGGAGGAGGGGGTCACCTCGTTGTTTGACGAAGATGTGCTGGCAACCCAAGTGATCCCTGGAGTGGAGGGGGTACCCTCCGGGGAGGAGGCAACCGTGGAGACGGAGTTTGCCACTCAACCTGAGAATCAGACAGCCTGGGGGACAGAGGTCTTTCCAACTGACGTGTCGCTGCTCTCAGGTGGGTCAGAGTTTCACCATCTCCTGGGTCACAGCATGGCTGGTGTTGTAGGTTTGGGACACTCCCAAAATAAATGGATTGTGTCTTTGCTGAAGGAGACTCCCTCTCAACCCAGACAATTATCACCATATTAGCAAAGTCTGAGGCCGTGCACACAGGTACCACAGGAGGCGCCACACATGTATATTATTGAACTTTTGTCTAGGACTGACCTAACTAACTAGCCATCCTGCCATGCTGCAGACCAGCACACATAGCATTGCCCAAGCACCTTACAAAATATGTTGCTGTGTACCCAGGACGGGAAAGGCAGGCCAGAAACAGATCTCAGACCATGCCTTCCAGACAGGACAGAGCTGCAGTATGGTTAGAGCAGCACCAAACTTTTCCTCTTCCACGTGTTATCTCAGAGGAAGCAGTAGCTTGATTTTGGCACCTGGGAGTTGGTGTCACTGTTGCCATTGTCCCATGTCAGAAGATCACATATTCTGTCAGTTTTCCATATTTATATAATTTACAGTTGTTTAAGATGTAATGTTCATTAACAAATTTGAAGGGACCAAACGATTTCTGCAAATACTTTGTGCCTTTATCCCAAAGGTATCAGTTTGGAGGTAAATTCAACCAGGAAATTGTTAATAGCTTCTTTAAAACAATTTAGTAAATAATTTTCCTCTCTCTCTCTTTGTTCACTTTCTTTTCCAGTGACTCCATCTGTTTTTCCTCCAGCTACCGTAATACCAGAGGAAACAAGTACCAATGCTTCCATCAGCGAAGTGTCAGAGGCTGTGACTGAGTCTGGAGAACATCAAGTCAGTGGTGAATCCTCAGCTTCCGGGTGGATATCTGGAGTCCCGGATACAAGTGGAGAACCAACTTCTGGAGTTTTTGAACTTAGTGGAGAACACTCAGGGATCGGGGAAAGTGGATTACCATCAGTAGACCTGCATACCAGTGGCTTTCTACCTGGTGAAAGTGGGCTACCCTCAGGGGACCTGAGTGGGGTGCCTTCTGGCATTGTCGACATCAGTGGCTTACCTTCTGCAGAGGAAGATGTATCCGTGTCTACTTCAAGGATACCAGAAATCAGTGGGATGCCATCTGGGGTGGAAAGCAGTGGGCTGCCTTCTGGATTTAGCGGAGAAATCTCTGGCACTGAGCTAGTCAGTGGCGTGTCGTCTGGAGAGGAAAGTGGACTCACTTCTGGTTTTCCTACCGTCTCTCTTGTGGATACCACATTGGTGGAAGTTATCACAACAGCACCAGAACGGCAAGAGGAGGGAAAAGGATCGATCGGAGTCAGCGGTGAAGAAGAGCTGTCGGGATTCCCGTCCACTGAATGGGACACCAGTGGTGGAGCCCAAGGGTTGCCCTCAGGAACTGATCTCAGCGGGGAGCCCTCTGGAGGTCCTGAGATCAGTGGGGAGCCTTCTGGGGTGCCTGAGCTCAGCGGGGAGCCCTCCGGAGGGCCTGAGCTCAGTGGGGAGCCTTCTGGGGTGCCCGAGCTCAGCGGGGAGCCCTCTGGAGTGCCTGAGCTCAGCGGGGAGTCTTCTGGGGTGCCCGAGCTCAGTGGGGAGCCCTCTGGAGGGCCTGAGCTCAGTGGAGAGCCTTCTGGGGTGCCTGATCTCAGCGGGGAGCCCTCTGGAGGGTCTGAGCTCAGCAGGGAGCCTTCTGGGTTGCCCGAGCTCAGCGGGGAGCCCTCCGGAGGGTCTGAGCTCAGTGGGTTGCCCTCAGGACTGGATGTCAGTGGAGAACCATCTGAAACCCATGAGGTCAGTGGCCTGGGGGACCTAAGTGGCCTTGCGTCTGGTATCGATGGAAGCAGTGAGTCCTCGGGCATTACCTTTGTAGATGCCAATTTGGAGGAAGTGACAACGCCCTCAATTACAGGAGCAGAAGCAAAAGAGATTTTAGAAATCAGTGGATTGCCTTCAGGAGGTGAAGAATCATCAGGCATGGTATCTGGGAGTTTAGACATCAGTGGTGAGCCTTCTGGGCATGTAGACTTTGGTGGGAGCGTTTCTGGAGTACTCGAGACGAGCGGACACCCGAGTGGAGTGATTGACAGCAGTGGTGAAGTCTCTGGAGTTGATGTCACCAGTGGCCTACTGTCTGGAGAGGAAAGTGGACTCACCTCTGGCTTTCCCACCGTCTCTCTGGTGGATACCACTTTGGTAGAAGTTGTAACACAGACGTCAGTTGCACAAGAGGTGGGAGAAGGGCCATCCGGGATGATAGAAATCAGTGGATTTCCTTCTGGAGACAGAGGACTATCTGGAGAAGGGTCTGGAGCTGTGGAGACTAGTGGGTTTCCTTCAGGGACAGGAGACTTCAGTGGAGAACCATCCGGGATCCCATACATCAGTGGAGACATTTCTGGAGCCACAGATCTAAGCGGACTATCTTCAGCAGCGACTGATATTAGTGGGGAGGCCTCAGGGCTTCCAGAAGTCACTTTAGTCACTTCTGATTTAGTAGAAGTTGTGACAAGACCAACAGTATCACAGGAACTGGGTGGGGAAACAGCTGTCACATTTCCCTACGGTTTTGGGCCAAGTGGTGAGGCCTCTTCATCTGGTGAATCAAGTGGGGAAACATCTACATTGCCAGAAAGTGGTATAGAAACATCAACAGCTTATGAAATCAGTGGTGAAACATCAACAGCTTATGAAATCAGTGGTGAAACATCTGCATTTCCTGAAACCAGCATAGAAACATCCACAGTTCACGAAATCAGTGGGGAGACATCTGCATTCCCTGAAAGTAGTGTAGAAACATCCACAATTCATGAAATCAGTGGGGAGACATCTGCATTCCCTGAAAGTAGTGTAGAAACATCCACATTTCATGAAATCAGCGGGGAGACATCTGCGTTTCCCGAGTTTAGCATAGAAACATCAACAATTCAAGAAATCAGTGGAGAAACATCTGCATTTCCTGAAATTAGAATAGAAACATCCACAAGTCAAGAAGCCAGGGGTGAACCATCTGGCTATCCTGAAATTAGCACAGAAACATCCACAGTTCAAGAAGTAAGTGGGGAAACCTCTGCGTTTCCTGAAAGTAGTACAGAAACATCCACAATACAAGAAGCCAGTGGCGAAACATCTGCATTTCCTGAAATTAGAATAGAAACATCCACCATTCAAGAAATCAGTGGGGAAACCTCTGCATTCCCTGAAATTAGAATAGAAACATTCACAAGTCAGGAGGCCAGGGGCGAAACATCTGGCTATCCTGAAATCAGCATAGAAACATCCACAGTCCACGAAATCAGTGGTGAAACATCTGCCTTTCCTGAAATTAGCATAGAAACTTCCACAGTCCATGAAATCAGTGGAGAAACATCTGCCTTTCCTGAAATTAGCATAGAAACTTCCACAGTCCATGAAATTAGTGGGGAAAGTTCTGCATTTCCTGAAATTAGAATAGAAACATCCACAAGTCAAGAAGCACGGGGTGAAACATCTGGCTATCCTGAAATCAGCATAGAAACATCCACAATCCAGGAAACCAGTGGGGAAGAATCTGCATTTCCTGAAATCAGCATAGAAACATCCACAGTCCACGAAATCAGTGGGGAAACATCTGCCTTTCCCGAAATTAGCATAGAAACTTCAACAGCCCATGAAATCAATGGGGAAACATCTGCATTTCCCGAAATCAGCATAGAATCTTCAACAGTCCATGAAATCAGTGGGGAAACATCTGCCTTTCCTGAAATTAGAATAGAAACATCCACGAGTCAAGAAGCCCGAGGTGAAACATCTGTCGTTCCAGAGATTAGCATAGAAACTTCGACAGTCCACGAAATCAGTGGGGAAACATCTGCATTCCCTGGGATTAGCATAGAAACACCAACAAGTCAAGAAGCCAGGGGTGAAACATCTGCCTATCCCGAGATTAGCATAGAAACATCCACCATTCAAGAATTAAGTGGGGAAACCTCTGCGTTTCCTGAAATTAGAATAGAAACATCCACAAGTCAAGAAGCCCAGGGTGAAACATCTGCATTTCCTAAGATTAGCCTAGAAACATCCACAGTCCACGACACCAGTGGAGAAGCATCCGCATTGCCTGCTGCTAACATCGAAACAGCTGCCACATCTTTGGCCAGTGGTGAGCCCTCTGGTGCTCCCGAGGAGAAGGAAATTCCTGACACAACATCTGGAGCTGTGACACACTCCATCACAGGCATTTCAGGGGAAACCTCTGCCCTAGACGTTGTAATTAGTACCAGTACTCCAGATGTTGAACCAACACAAGGACCCAGGAACACTGAAGAGGCTCAGCTTGAAATAGAGCCCTCCCCTCCCGCGGTGTCAGGACAAGAGACGGAGACGGCTGTTCTAGACAATCCCCATCTGCTGGCCACCGCTACAGCTGCCCTGCCTCAAGTCTCAAAAGAAGCAATAGATGCATTAGGACCCACTACAGAAGGTACTGTGTCTTCTTCTTGTATGGAAGGGAATGCGCTACAGAGGGGAAGGGAGGGAGGGAGGAGGCAGAGCTGTCACGTGTTGCTTCTTCTACAGCAGAGAACATTGACACAGAAGCAGGCTTGAGCAAAATATTACTGTGGTGGGAAGCCATAAACATGTGGGGTTTTCCACAGGTCGTGTTCAATAGCTTCTGTCTTAACAAATGATAGTCTGTGTTTGGGCAGGAAATGCAATTATCCAGCCAGCGTAACCACGTCCCCAGAATCCTCCTGGACCTCCCTCCTGCCTGTCGATGGCAATTACATGCCCCTGGGAAGAGCAGCAGAGGACCAGTTCAAGGGAAGCACCAGGAGATGCATGCCTGGCCTTCCCTCCCTGCACCATAGCAGTAGGCATCGTTCCCTCCTCCTAATTGCTGTTCCTGGTGGACACAGCTGCAGCCCAGCCGTGATGAGCAGCCTGGTGGAGCTGGTGCCTGCCAGGAACGTGTTGGGGGCATCATCTGCTTGTGCCCCTCGGGGTACCCAAGTGATCGCTGGGACATAGGTGAGCTCTCCCCTCTGTCCTGCCAGAGGTGGGGGCTTGGAAAAGAGTATTCTGTGACTGGTCATTGAGAGCCGCTGTGACCAGGCTCCTGAGTGTGACATAGCTGGGGAAGGCACTAGAGCATTCACACCCCCTCTGAAATTGCTCTTAGCTATTGCTATAATCTAGAGAAAACAACATTTTTTTCTTTTCCTGTGGAAACAAGAGCAAAGACGGTTCCACCCACCAGAGACTTCCACCCTGGCTAGTGGATGCAGCTGAGAAGTTGGATAAAACAGGCTGCAAGTCCCTGTCCTCTTTTGTTTCTCTTTCCATGATGTGCTGATTTGCTGCCTGTATCCCCAAGTGTTTCACAGTGCTTGCTCCGGAGTGGGAGGCTGGACATCAGCAGCTTTGCAGTGCCAAGGGGTAAGAGGCAAAGCAAGCCAGCTGGGGACAAAAATCTCTGCTCTCGGCATCATCTGCGCTGAGCACAATGTCAGCATCGGGCAAACTGCTCCGGGCCCTTTGGCACAGAGCATGGGTGTCCTGTGGTCTGTGTCTTACCCTGCTTTCTGCAGCTAGAATGGGCTAAATATGTGAGACGATACCTTTTGTCAGCTCTGCTGGTAAATGCCCTTCCTTCTACCCTGCCCCTTTTTTTTGGTGTTTTAGCACTCTGTCTTTGGTAGGACCCCTTGCTGCCAAGTATAAACAGATTAATATTTAAATCTGAGTAACCATTTATGGTGAAAACCCTCTTCTAGCTTTCTGACAAGCACACACCCCCTCCCCAGCAGTGTTCACGTGCTGTGGATACTGCAATGAGAAGAAAATGAGATGGGGACATGGCTGTGCTTGCTGATGGCTGCTTCTTGGCCAAGGGAGGAGCCCAGTCCCGGTAACACAGGATGAGCTGTGGCATCCCTGGCCATGGCTTCATTTCACTTTGCTGGCTCCTGGAGACAGGCCCCATTTCAAAACCACCAATGCTTGTGCTGTTGTATGAAGGTCCTACTGAGGTATGCTCAGTTCTCAGTGGGCCACATGTTCATGTAGGACATGTTGCTTAAGTATGGTACAAAATGTGCGTGCAAAGAGATTTGCTCAGTTCCTTCTAGCAAAAGTAACATTAATTCCACTCCCTTCCCACATTACCTCCTGAACTGCTTCTTTTTGGTTAATTTACACCATTCAGCATAGGTAGCTCTGGACTCAGTAAAGGTCTGTAAGTGCAGGGTTTTCTGAAGCTCAGCCTGGTTTCTAACACCATTTCCATCCCCAAAGTGTTTTGAATGAGTCACTGCATTTCCCTCTGTGTCATTTCTCTCCCTCGGAGAAAACAGGTAATCACAAACCTTTGTTCAGTCCTGCTCACAGCGCATTTGAGGTCCTGCCTGTCTGCTGAGCAGCTGCACGGGGGATGCTGCAGGGGTGGGCGAGGGCAAGAGGAGTCCTTCCCACAGCACTGGTCTCGCCTGGCACGGCATCTGGGGCCTGGCAGGGTGCTGCAGGAGGTACCCACCCAAAAGCCCTCCTTGCACACCTAATGGGCTCAGCTTTTGGGCCATGCCCACTGCCACATCCAAGTTTGGAGACAAAAACAAGCCAGCAAAGGTAGGGTTGAGGGGAAGGAAGGAAACCAGCCAGTGAGGCTCAGTATAAAAAGAAATTTAAAAAAAAATATTGGCCCCAAAGTGTGGTTTTATTTCATTGCTTTTTCTTTTTATAAATTACCCACAATGCGATTGCCAGATTCTTCACAGCATTTGTTAGCCAACATTCTTGTGAAGTATTTTGAAAGAAAACCATGTGTTCGGCAGCTCATGTGTGAAGAATCTTGAAAAATGTTCTGAAATTGGAACATGTTGTGTGTCTGCAAGGCACAGAGATGACGCTGTAGCAGCTGGGGTTTCTTAGCAGGTGACAGGGCAAGTGACGACTGCATGAAGTTTAACTGTAGACTCCTTATAGAGATGGGCTTGAGTACACGTGAGTGGCTGGTGCTCCCACCAGGGAAGATATTCTAAGGTAAAGCTTTTCTTTTGATTGGCGTGAGTGGCTGGTGCTCCCACCAGGGAAGATATGCTAAGGTAAAGCTTTTCTTTTGATTGATAAGCTTCTTTACTATGATGTCCCTATAGGGGACCTGGTCAGGGTCTGAAGGAAGCTCATCCAGGTGGCAAGAAAATGTATTGACCATGAACTTGCAAGACCCCTGCAACAAAGCGAACTTCTTCTAGGGAATTAGAGCAAAGTGATGACAGAAGAAGGGAAAAAAAATGGAAAAATAATCACAGATTTCCTTTTTTGGGGTCGTTACTCTTTATAGTGCTCTGGGGATTGTGAACAGGGAAAGTCTGCAAGGAATAACCAGAGGCTGGAACCCAAAATACTATTTCCCATGTTGTGGCTGCCTTTTTCACGGAAGCTTCACAGTCTTGAAGTGTAGCTCTCGCAAAAAGATCAGTTCTAGTATCTGTGCCTTGTGCAGTGCTCAGAGTTTGTAGGATGTAATGGATGCCCATTAAGTGCAAATAATTTAACATTAAAGCATGGGTGAAGCTAGTTCAGCTTACAGAAGGAGCTTAGAGTGAGGAGCAGGGAGGCATGTGCCTGTGGCCGCCTTGGCCTGTCATTGAAGGGTTCCAGTTAAATCCAGCAGTCTTTTTAGTGGGATGATTTAAGAAGAATGATATTTTTCTGCTCTGCTGTAGCCTCTGCTTCTCTCTAAAAGCCAGACCCAGAAGAACAAGAAGACTGTAGATTAACGCTTGGAGTGCCCGTATTTTTTAGTATTTAACCAAATTAAAGGCTATGCATGCACATGTCTTTAGTCAGCAGTTTGATTCCTCCACAAGGACAGGAGCCCCACAAGCTTGAAGAATTGTCTTGGCTTCTTCATCCAGAGTTTTGCCAACTCAGCAGGTCTTTTTGCTCCTGGTAAGATTTGAAAACAAATAATTATTAGCTGAAAAAAAGCATGCTGGCACTTCAGTGAAAGGCTGTGGTTTGGAGCACTCTGACCAGTCAATGACTTAAAAACTTCAGTCAAGTTGAGGGAAAAAAGAGAAATGTGCTGATATGGCAGCTATTTATGTGAAGTTTTGCTTTTCTCTGGTGAAATGAGTCCATGAAGTCTGCTGCCTATGGCCCCAACACAGCTGAAGGTTAGAATCCAAATGAGGAAAGGTCTTGATGGGCTTTCCTCATTCTTCATGCCGTGGAAGTCCAAGGTTTAGAGTTTTGTTGGTCCAGAGAAGATCAACACAGAAGAAAAAGTCTAGAAAACATTCACCTGGTTCATAATGTTTCACCTAATGTGGAATGAAGAGTATGATCTTAAGAAGGAGATGGAGGTACCAGTCCTGGCTGAGAGACAAGCAAAAGCACAGACCATTTGCAGCTGACCAGCTGATTTGATATCTCCTGGATATAGTGTCTATTTTGCATCATAAGTTTCTTAGCTTAACTAAAACCTTTCTCTGAAAAGGCAACCTACCATCCTGGACCAGTGTTATGTACATGTCAGTTTACTTCTACGCATAATATTTTGGAGGCAGGGATGTCCACATTTCCTGAGCTCTCCTTCCGTGAGAGTGTTGGACAAATCAAAGGTCCCAGCAGATCAACAGGTTCTCTTGGAAACTTGCTGTTCTCTAGGTGAATACAGCTTTTTAAGGCTGTAGCAATATCTGCTCCTTCTGCTGCATGGAGGCTATGGTTTAATTACTGTAGTTAATTATTTTAATTGCTTAATTGCTCATCATAAGTCACTAGCTGGTTATGTGATGTTCCATGCTAGCATTTTACTTAAAATGTCAGAGAACTGTTTTCCCAACTCCTCCTATTCTTTTCTTGTAGCAGTCACCCTACAATTGCTCCAGTGTTTTTCTTTGCTGTTTGAGCTATCAGATTGGCAGTTCAAACTTTCCAGGAGTCTCTGAAAAGCAAATTTAATTTGTACATGGATTTTTTTTTTCCCCTCAGCCTCCAGAAGATAATTGTCTAGCTGGTCTCTGAGTCCCTGTTTGGATAATTGCACTTACAAGGAGGCCTGTAAAGAAAGGGTTAGGGGCACCACAGGGGCTGTTGGACATCCTGGAAATGCCTTGCCTTTCTGTCCTACCTTTTCCTCTCTGCAGAACAAAACCCGGAGTTTAAATCCTAGGGTAAATTTCTAAACCAATTACTCACAGCTTCAGGAAAACTATACAGTGTGTCAGGGTTTGGATGATAGCATCCTCTTGGTCCACAAGCTGCTTCTCCTTAGTAGATGTTTTAAGCACAAAGCTGACCTTTAATGTGTATTCTTGCTCATCTTCTGCACAGGCTGCCATTGAGAGAAATGCACAGACTGTATTGTTTTAAAAAGTGTTAGCACTGTTTCTAGTATTGTCTTTTCAGCTCGGGATGAAGGGTTTTAAAAGCATTTCCTTCTCACCACTGACACTGCGTGTTCACTTTCGCATG